AGACGGGGTTTCACCATGTTGACCAGGATGGTCTCAATCTCTTGACCTCGTGATCCACCCGCCTCGGCCTCCCAAAGTGCTGGGATTACAGGCTTGAGCCACCGCGCCCGGCCAAGTTTTATATTTTTAGTAGAAACGGGGTTTCACCATGTTGGCCAGGCTGGTCTCAATCTCCTGACCTCAAGTGATTCCCTGCCTCAGCCTCCCGAAGTGCTGGTGTGAGCCACCACACCGGACCTTTTAACAGATCATTTTTATTTTACTATAAAAAATGAAGAATGGGGAACAGTGACCAGTTAGAAGGCCTGTGATTCCAAATAAAGATAACTACACAGATTTGGGGTGTGTCAAGGCAGAGTCAGTGGGACTCTAGCTAGTAGATTGAATGGGAGAGAGGACAAGGAGAGAGAAGGGAATTCAAGTCATATTTTTAGGTTTTTAATTTGAATAGACAGATGACTGGCAGCACTATTGACAGAGGGAGCATTCAGGTGGATGTGGGCCAGGGAGGGTAGAGGACAAGAGCTCTGTTTTGAGCACTACAAATAAGCAGTTAGACATAACAGTCTTATGGAATGCTTTAAGGGGTTAGGGAAGATAAAACTGTCTGTTGAACATAGGTACAACTTGTTCAAATGCAATTAGGTAGAAATTTACTGGCTTATTACAGAACCTCCTTTGCCTTATTAAAAAGTTAGAATTTTCTCCTAAATGCTAATTACCACTGGTCATGTCATATTTTAGCTTCTGTTAAATGGGCCACCACACCCTGCTAATTTTTGCATTTTTAGTAGAGACGGGTTTTCACCATGTTGGCCAAGACGGTCTCAATCTCTTGACCTCGTGATCTACCTGCCTTGGCCTTCCAAAGTGCTGGTATTACAGGCATGAGCCACTGCGCCCGGCCTTGTTTTATATTCACTAATACCTCCTCTTACAAACTAGAACATGGTATATATACTCAAATATACTAAATATTACTATTATTGAAACTGTTATAAGACTGTTTAAAATATTTTGCAATGTGATCTAGTACATTTTCTATTTGAATAGAACGTCTCAGCTATGGGCTGGGCATGGTGGCTCACGCCTGTAATCCCAGCACTTTGGGAGGCCAAGGTGGGTGGGTTGCTTGAGCTCAGGAGTTCGAGACCAGTCTGGGCAACATGGTGAAACCCCATCTCTACAGAAAATAGAAAAATTAGCCAAGCATGGTGGTGCATGCCTGTAGTCCCAGCTACTAGGAAGGCTGAGGTGGGAGGATCACTTGACCCTGTGAGCGGAGGTTGCAGTGAGCTGAGGTCATGCCATTGCACTCCAGCCTGGGTGACAGAGTGAGACCGTGTCTCAAAAAGAAAAAAAAGAAGTCTCAGCTATATATCCTTTGAAAGCTTTTCAAAAAATCTGTGCTTCAAAGGAAAACTAGAACCGGAAACCATGTGTGCTCATGTGCATGTGTGTTTTAATTGTTACACTTGAGTTTCTTAACCAGAAAACCAGATGTGACTTAGCTGACTTCTAGGTTTTCATTAGTCCTATGTTTGCACCATTTTTAGGAAGCTGTGCAGAAGATGCTGGATCGGGCTGAAAATGAGGTATTTTTTAAACCTTTCATTGAGAATTTGAGACCAATTAATGTTTCCTTAGAATGATAGTTCCAGTAATGTTAGTTTTGTGGTAGGTTGCTTAGATCATGTTTGGATATCTGGAATCATGTTTGTGGTCCTTTAATTTACACAACAACAACAAAATTTACTGATGAGCAAATACAAATGGTATACATGACCCCTGTGGACTGGACTTGTTTAGAGTCCGTACAGTGTGTTTAAGCAACATCACATACCGTTTGCCTCCAGTGGACAGTTTACCTTGAATCAGAGTAACTTCCATTTCTGTCTGTGGTGGTTCCCTAATAAGTTCTTGGACTCTTTTTTTCTTTTCTTTCTTTTTTTTTCTTTTGAGACAGAGTTTCGCTCTTGTTGCCCAGGCTGGGGTGCAATGGTGTGATCTAGGCTCACCATAACCTCCACCTCCTGGGTTCAAGCGATTCTCCTGTTTCAGCCTCCCAAGTAGGTAGGATTACAGGCATGCGCCACCACACCCAGCTAATTTTGTATTTTTAGTAGAGATGGGGTTTCTCCATGTTGGTCAGGCTGGTCTCGAACTCCTGACCTCAGGTGATCCGCCTGCCTCGGCCTCCCAAAGTGCTGGGATTACAGGCATGAGCCACCATGCCCAGCCTTCTTGGGCTCTTTTTAGAATTGATGGAAACCTTGGTGGCTGCCCCTGGTTGCAGTAGTGATCCCAGATAAAGAAAAGTGACCAGGAGCCAAAAGAGAAATGGAGCTCATATCTTAGTACTGTTGTTTGTAAAGTCTTGATTGCCTATTACAACTTAAATGTTTGCATTTAAATGAAAAATGTTTATCTTTGAGGAAAATATTTTAATATACTTTGAAACAGTCTTTCATGGGTTTTTACACCACCAGTAAAGTCATGTTTATTTTTAACAGTTGGAAAATGGTACCACATGGCAAAACCCAGAACCACCCATGGATTTCAGAGTAATGGAGAAGGATCGAGCTAATTGTCCCTTCTACAGTAAAACAGGAGCTTGCAGATTTGGAGATAGGTAATTTTGTTTTATCATGTCAGAATGAAGTGATTCAAAATGTTGAAGTTTTTGAGTTCTTTTGGGAGAGGCACAAGCCTCTGTTTCAAATGTCTGTCATCATACATCTGCTGCTTTCTTGCCGCTGCTCTCATTTTTCCAGCTGATCATCCTCTGCTTTGACCATCTCTGTTCCTTCTATCTTTGTTCCCCGGGTGGGCTTAGCCTAGTTCTCTGAGGGTGCTTCCTTTCTATTCCACATCTTTAGGAAGCACTTTTGCTTGTTGGTTTCTTCCTGAGCTTGCATTGGTCCATGGTGGACAACTGGGATGGGGAAATAATATATTTGAAGATGCTTGGAGCAGCTTGGCTTTAGTTTTTGAAGGGCAAACACTGTGCCCAAAACAGGCTTTTTTTTTTTTTTTTGAGACAGTCTCGCTCTGTCGCCCAGGCTGGAGTGCAGTGGTGTGATCTCGGCACACTGCAACTTCCACCTCCCGGGTTCAAATGATTCTGTTGCCTCAGCCTCCCATGTAGCTGGGACTACAGGCATGCACCACCACACTCAGCTAATTTTTTGTATTTTTAGTAGAGACAGGGTTTCACTGTATTAGCTAGGATGATCTCAATCTGACCTCGTGATCTGCCCACCGCAGCCTCCTAAAGTGCTGAGATTACAGGTGTGAGCCACTGCACCTGGCCAATAGGCTTTTAAAACTTGGCATGTGCCAGGAGTTCCAGGCTGTAGTAGGCTATGATCACACCACTGTACTCCAACCTGGGTGACAAAACAAGAGCCTGCCTCAAAAAAGGAAAAAACAAAAAAAAACTTGTCATGTGTAAAGGGATATCTGTGAAAGACAGGATCCAAATGAGGAGAGGAAAAGTGTTTTAATTTCTAGTGTCAGTGAGTGTGCTCAGACTCAGCAACAGACCCCTGGGTTCAAAAATGGGCTTCAGTGGCTGTCACTCTGTGAAAGTTGCTTAAGCTCTGTGTGCCTTGATTCTCTCGTGTGTGAAATGGGATTAAATATAGTCTCATCTTTCTGAGGAGGCTGTGAGGCTGAAATGATCACACACATGGGAAGCTGGGAGAACAGGGCCCGGGAGTACTTGCTGGTATTTTCATTATTGTGACTCTTGCCATTATTCTCTGAGACACTCTTCTTGTTCCCTGCCCCTTTTGGGTCAATGTTTTTGAAAGAAGACATTCATGTGGAAACCTGGTGTTGATCTCTTAAGTCATTTAGCAAGTATTTGAACACCTATTATATGGCAGGTAATGGTGATTTTTATAATTTGGCTTGTTTATGAATGAACAACTTAAAGTAGGTAAATAATTCCTAATGGTGAATGAGTCCATCTGAGGCAAAATCTAATAATTATCGCCATATATTCTGCAGAAGAGAAGATCTAATCATAACCTTAACATCCTATTAATCCTTAAAAGGGATATGAATAGTAAAGTTCAGATGTATTTAATCAGAAACCATATGTCATCTGTCAGGTTTACTTTATTCATAAAAGTTTCCATGCTGTGAGGATTTCTTTCCCTTCTTCTTTGAAAATATAGCCTTCTCTATGATTCTTTTCTTTTTCTTTTTTAATTTAAACATTCATACCATTTTTATTTTTATTTATTTATTTATTTTTTTGAGATGGAATTTTGCTCTTGTTGCCCAGGCTGGAGTGCAATGGCACGATCTTGGCTCACCCCAACCTCTACCTCCCAGGTTCAAGCGATCCTCCTGCCTTAGCCTCCCAAGTAGCTGGGATTACAAGCATATGCCACCACAACCAGCTAATTTTTTATCTTTAGGAGAGGTGTGATTTCACCATTTTAGGCTGGTCTCAAACTCCTGACCTTAGGTGATCCACCCACCTTGGCCTCCTAAAGTGCCGGGATTATAGGCGTGAGTCACCATGCCTGGCCATTTTTCATTTTTTAACAGTGGTTCTCAATCCTGGATGCATGTTAGAGTCATCTAGAAAGCTTTAAAAAATTATGTCCTACCTCAAGTTGAGTAAATCAGAATATCAGGGCCGGGTGTGGTGGCTCACACCTCTTATCCCAGCACTTTAGGATGCCAAGGCAGGCAGATTGCTTGAGCTCAGGACTTGGAGACCAGCCTTGGCAATATGGTATAACCTAGCCTCTATAAAAATAAAAATAATAATAAATAAAAGAATATCAGGGATTTGGGTGGCATTAGTTTGGAAATGTCCTCAGGTATTTCTAGTGTGCCCTAGGATTGAGAGCCACTAATGTCGGATATGTACGCCCTTTTGTATTTTAGAGGTGGGATTGCAGATGTCCAGAATGTCTGTGAAAAGATTCACAGGATCTGCAAACTAGTAGACAGCCTCCTCTTGAAAAACTTGACCAAGAAAAGGAAAGAGACTTTATTCCCTTTGGTACCTTTAGAAGCGTTTCTCAAATATGCACTTAATCTGAGCAAGAAACGGTAATAATTGATTGGTGTAAAAAACTTCCCACCAAAGAAAAATGCACTGTGAGTTAACCTTTCAGAGACAACTGAGACTCTATGTAAGTTCACATTTGCGTGGGTAGTTGAACCAAATTGCAGTTAAGGTTTTCCAGCTGCAGGATCCCTGATGTAGGATCTAGCTCTAACATTTCCTCTAAAGTTAAGACCCATGGTAGCCTGATTCTTGATTCTCCTTTTGTTGGGCGTGAGAGGAGGGGAGAGATGTCTTAAACGATTTCGAGAACTTGGCTGACAGGCCCTTCCTTGCAGAAAGAGGGAATGGCCCGTCATGCCCTCAGATTCCATCTCCTCAACTCAGTTCAGGGAAATAGGGACAGTGGTCAAATTCATTTGTGAACATTCCTTATAATTTTTATAGCCATATGAAATTTTCCTATCACAGCTATCAAAGTATGAGAGCAATGTAGAGATTTTCATCATTCAAGAGATAAGTTGTGACATAAAACTCTGCAAAATTAGCAGTTACAAAATCCAGCACCATCCCTTTAGACAAGTAGACCATTCTGTTCCCCTTTTCTGGAGAGCCTTGGTGACTTGCTCCAGATTGTATAGCCGTTCTGCTCTGTCATTAAGTTTTGTCAGACCATCAGAGGAACACTTCTATCACCTAAGCATTTCTTTGGTTGGTTATTTTTATAATTAGTACAGAGTTCAGTTCTTGAGCCATTCTGGAATTGGTGTTTTTGGAGTCACAGCTTTGAGGGGAATCTATTTGTTTTTCTCCTAAAAGGCAGTAATTACTCATGGAAGGTAAAACTTACTGGTCTATTTATAACTCACTTAATTCCAAAAGTGATTTAAAGAAGGCTCATGATCTAGTGCATTAAGTTAAAGTAAAGGAAATTGAAAGCAAGGAGAGGAAGAAAAAGCGAATTATTTTCTCTGGGTTTTTATTTCTCCATATTTGAATGCATCTCAAGCAGATAATAAGCTGTAATTCTTACCAAAAAGGAAGAATGAGTGATAGCTCTAGAAAGATGAAAATTTTCCTGGCACCGGATTCTAAAGATTTCTCCTGTGGAATATTTTACAAAAATATTAAATAGGAAAGTGGATGATAACATTAATAGATGTTTTATAACAGTTGCATATGTAATTTTCATGAGAATGTTTCTTATAGTGACCTTCAATAAATGATTGCAGCTTAACTTTATTTATTTATTTATTTATTTATTTGATGGAGTCTTGCTCTGTCGCTCAGGCTTGAATGCAATGGCACAATCTTGGCCAACTGCAACCTTCGCCTCCAGGGTTCAAGCAATTCTCCTTCCTCAGCTTCCCGAGTAGCTGGGATTACAGGCGTGTGCCACCATACCCAGCTACTTTTTTATATTTTTGGTAGATACGGGGTTTGACTATGTTGGCCAGGCTGGTCTCGAATTCCTGACCTCAAGTGATCCTCCTGCCTCGGCTTCCCAAAGTGCTGGAATGACAGGTGTGAGCTACCGTGCCTGGCCTGCAGCTTAACTTTAACATGCAATGTGGTGATTCTATGTAGGACAAAGGTAGTGGGTACCAGGAGTACTTCCTTGAGAAGAAAAAGAGGAGTAGTCAGTTAGCTATAGCTGGGAAGGCATTTGGATACCCACACCATTTATTGGCCATCCTTGGCCTAAAGTAATATCCAACAACCGTGGGTTTTTGCAGCAAAGTGACTTAAGTGTCAGAATAATGGGTAAATAGTATGCCCTAAACCAGTGGTTCCCAAATATGGCTGATCTTCAGGACTAGGTAGGGAGCTACTTTGAAAATATGGGTCCCCCACCCCTTGAGGTCTGATCAGATGGTCTAGGGTAGGAAGAAATCTGTTCTTCCCAGGTAATTCTGAGAACCACAAAGTCTTGGGGCCATAGCTTTAGACTGCCTTCGTAAATGTCACTTCTCTTAGTTGACTTTTCAGTAAAAGCTATAGGACTGGCCTTTTGTATACACTTAGATTATAAGGATTGTCTTTAGGTCAGGTGGGATTTTTCCCCAAACAGGGATTTCGTTTCTATTCCAAAACTGACAAATGCTTATTTGACATCCTGGGAACTAGGCCCAAGTTCATTCAGATCTAGGAATTCCTTGAGCAGAATTTTAACCTCTTTAAATTGGTTCCTTGTTAAATTGTGTGTGCTTCTTACTTATAACATTTTGATTCACTGTTAGTGTTGCCAGCCAGGTTGAGTCTTCACTCTTTATTCTGTCAGTAGTTGGGAAGAGGGATCTAATTACAAGGTCTCTAATTGAATAATCCAGGAGGTCATTTTGAAAATAGAAAATTTCATGTTAATGAACATTGATTAAGCATTTCTGAGCTAAGCATGATGTATGCTGGGTATTCTGTGAGCATTACCTCAATAGGTACTTAGAGAGACGTTACAGACGTGGAAAGTGTGATTAAACATTTAGTCACTTCGGGGCCATTGTTGCTTTTTCCCAATACATCCTATTCTTCAACTTTCTTCCTTCCTAAATTCTGTGGATTTCCCCACCCCACCAAAAAAATTTTGTCTTACCAATTTTTAACTGGCAACATAACCAGGAAAAATTTGCATATTTGGAAGCTTGAACTACATTTCCCCCCTCATTTTATGTTAGGAGAAGGAAGTAAATAAGAAAGTAAACTCATATGAAGGATTTTTGAAATATTATTTAGGTACAGTGTGGTCAGCTTAGCCTTGATCCAGTTTAAACTATGAAAAGAAAATTGTTCTTCACAATGGTTAGCCACCTTCATTAAATAACAGTTAAATGATGCAGCTACGGTAGCTCATACCTGTAATCCCAGAGCTTTGGGAAGCCGAGGCAGAAGGATCACTTGGAGCCAGGAGCATGAGACCAGCCTGGGCAACATAGCGAGACTCTGTCCTTACAAAAATAAAAAAAATTAGCTGGGAGTCATAGCATGCACCTGTGGCATGCGCCAGCTACTTAGGAGGCTGAGGCAGACGGATCAGTTGAGCCCGGGGAATCCAAGGTTGCAGTGAAGTATGATCATACCATTGCATTCCAACCTGTGTGACAGAACTAGACCCTGTCTCTAAAACAAATTATATTTCTTATGCCCTATCATGAACAGGCGCCAGATTGTAGATTAATGCAGATGTCTTGGATCACTCTTTTCCCAGCCATATGACGCGGGCAAGTGTGCTTTTCTAGGTCTCAGCTTCCTTCTTTGGAAAGTGGAGAAAATACTAGTCCTAGAGGGATACAAGGATCAGAGGGGAAAAATGTAAAAATGCCGTGAGAGCTACAAGATGCTGTACACAGATGAGACTGAATTGCTTCATTAACTGGAAATTCTTGGATTACCCTATTGTCTAAACATTGAGTCCACCGACAATTGTACAGAACCAGGATTGCATTGTTAGTTCCCACCTTCCTCTCAGCAGTCCCACATGTGACATCTTCATGCATATCACACATCCCGTCACACCAATCAGTGGGCCTTCTTTTCCCTTATGGTTCAACATGTATGAGGCTTCCTGAACTTCATTCAAAGGCAGCTGAATGGTATATGAACTTTGAAATCTTTCCAGCTTGACGTTAAAACAGCAAGTGCCAAGTTTCAGCACTTAAAACAATCCTCTTAAGTGCTGAAACTTGGCATCTGTGTGGGGTTTATTATCTTTCAGTTAAGTCAAAACAACTAAATTACATGAGTTTCTATCTCAAAATTTAAAGCATGTGTTTTGTGTGTAATTTTAAATTATTGGTCTAGTGAATTTAAGTTTTTCTTTCATCTGCAGATGTTCACGTAAACATAATTTCCCAACATCCAGTCCTACCCTTCTTATTAAGAGCATGTTTACAACATTTGGAATGGAGCAGTGCAGGAGGGATGACTATGACCCTGATGCAAGCCTGGAGTACAGCGAGGAAGAAACCTACCAACAGTTCCTAGATTTCTATGAGGATGTGCTGCCTGAGTTCAAGAACGTGGGGAAAGTGATTCAGTTCAAGGTGGGCATGTGTGTGGATGGGACTGCTTTGCTTCACCCTGCAGTACTTAATGGCACAGGCTCAGCTGGGGTCAGGCACGCTTGCACTCTGTAAATGTGACTTCCCTCTTTCTCTCTTTCCACTCCCTACCTCGTTGCCAGTGTCGCATCAATACCACATGAAATCATAAATTGTACTAGCATGGTATTTCCTGAATGCTAGGGGTCTAGATTGGAAAGGATCTTTCATTTATTTAGTAGCTTTGTGCTCTGATTCTTTTCAAACACATGAATTCTCTGTATCAGGTCCCCTGCACATAGCCATCTAGTCCTTCACTTAGAAGCTACATGTGACAAATGGTGCATTCCCTTCCTTCCTCTGTAAGTGGCTTCCATGTACACAGTGTGACACAATTTCATTCACTAAGTTTGTTGGTGCATTATGTTGACAGTGCCGAGTTGCAGCTTCTACCCAAGGTGTATGTTCTTTCTTCTAGAGCCACACAGAAACATAAATCATAAATCTAGATTCAAACCCCCTCTTACTTTTTTTTTTTTTTTGCATTGATTTTATTCATTGGATACTTTCAGTACTAAATATAGTATTATAAAAACCATCGTCTGTGATGCAGCATACTTGCTGAAAAGGCATTCAGATGACACATAATTATTTTAAAATATTCCTTAATCCAAGGCTAAGGCCAGATGTAATCTCAGCTGCTCACAGGACCCATTAGTTGAATTCTAACAGGGTGAAGCTCCCTGCCTTGTCTATTATTTCATCAGATCTGAACTGGAATGCCTTCATTATGTTGAGGCAAGGAAATTGTCCCATAATTTGGGAAAAGACAGGAATGAAACCGTAATTTTTTTTCCTGCTAGTTGCAAATGATGATGAAAAGTTGGAACATCCCCCCAAAAAACAAAGATATTCCTGACATTTAAGGCTATACTTCTATCAACTGATTTTAAGATTTGTAAAAATTCTTTTTCATTTTTTTTTCCTCCTTAACCTTTTGTTTCTGTGGCATATACCTTCCTGTTTTCACACTACTTTTCAGCACAAGCAATAGCCACTAAAGTGGAACTGCCTGGTCACACACACATAATATCATGTTAGAAGCTGGCAGAAGAGGCCATGTGGTTTGACTAGCCCTGTGCTTTTGAACAAGTCTTGTCACTTCTTCCTGCCTTTTCTTTATCCTGAAAGTGAGGGGATTGGATTACATCAGTGGTTTTCCTTGTAGGGTTTCTTGATTATACTGCTTCTGTGAAGTGGTAGTGGGGCTGCTTTCAAAACTTCACACTAGTTCATGGAAATTGCACCATTGCTTGCAACAGGCTGCACCCACAAACCACAACCACCACAACGTATTTTTTCTTTTGTTTAGAGTTCTCTCACCCTAGCTTGCACAACTGACATGGACTCCTGAAGCATTTTATTCTTCCTTCTAAGGGTGGTGTTACAAACTGTCATGGAGTGTGGATCCTGCCCCTTTTTGGATACCCTAAGAAAAATACTCCCAAACAAATTTGTAAAATTATAGATTCATTTTGAACATAAATGCTAAACACTAGTATGAATATTTGAAGACCTTTCTTTATACCAAGATATAAAAACAAATCAGATTTGTCACTGTTGAAGGCAAATTATCACATATTTAACCTAACCAGTAATAGGAACAGTACATATAAAAATGGGATGATATTCACACCTATCAGGCAAAAATATTATAAATTCTATTAATACCAAGAGTAGATGAAGATGTGTACATTAGTAAAAACTATCTCAGAGAGCAGTTTGTCTATACCTAGTGAAGGTACGTGTAACCTATAAATTGGCACACTCCTGGCTATGCCCAGTAGAGAGAGATCTTTATACCCACAGAAACCTGTTCAAGAATGCTGACTGCAGTACTGTTTGTGGATGAAGAATTGGAAGCATCTTGAAAAACCATCATTAGAGGAATAGATAAGTTTTATAATTTGGTATATCCAGTATACAGTAGTTAAGATGAATCATTAAGTTTACATGACTACATCTTGAAAAAAGAATGTGGAATAAATATTATTTATATAAAATTTTGAAACATACAAAGCAATACTATCTGTTGCTTATCAATACATATTACCTGTTTCTTTTTGCATATATATAAATAAATATGTGTATACCCATTATAAATAATAGACATTTATGTATATGATACGTATGTGTGGTTTTTGGCCTGAATATGGTGTATGTATATATGCCTGTATCTGTGTATCTGTATCTGTGTCTTTGTAGGTCTGTGTATGGATATGTGTGTTTGTGTTTGTAATGTGAAGACTACACTCAGCCTGTGGAGAATGTTCACCAATGTGATGGAGGGAGAAGAATGGGATAGAAGGGCTTCAACTGGGTCTTTAATGTTTTACATATTTAAATATTCTCATTCAAGAGTGGAAAACGTTAGTGTTAAATCTAGGTAGTGTATATATAGGCTGAATGATGTATTCTGCATTTTTATGCATGTGTGAAACATTTCATATTTGTGGGAAAAAACAGACCTGGACCAACAGGGATCAGGCATGCTGCCATGTGCCAAGTAAGCCTGAAATAGATGCAAGAGTCAGCTAGTATCTCTATTTTGGAATCTTTGATTGGTAACTACTTTGGGGAATGTTAGCCTGGACAAACTACCTTTGATGAATGGCTAGTTTCTTTTACTGAGTTTTTTATGATAGCGTTCTTCATTGCTCCCTAGGTCAGCTGCAATTTGGAACCGCACCTGAGGGGCAACGTATATGTTCAGTACCAGTCGTAAGTATTTTGCTTGTGAATGTCTTCCTATTTTGCCACAGTTTGTTGTTCTGTTTTTGTTGATGTGCTGAATGTTTTTACTGGATATATAGCTTTTGTATGTTTTATTTATTTTTTATTTTTATTTTATTTTTATTTATTTTTTTCTGAGACAAAGTCTTGCTCTGTCGCCCAGGCTAGAGTGCAATGGCGTAGTCTTGGCTTACTGCAACCTCCGCCTCCTGGGTTCAAGCGATTCTCCTGCCTCAGCCTCCCTAGTAGCCAGGATTATAGGTGCCTGCTACCATGCACAGCTAATTTTTGTATTTTTAGTAGAGACAGGGTTTAACCATGTTGGCCAGGCTGGTCTCGAACTCCTGACCTTGTTATCTGCCCGCCTGGCCTCCCAAAGTGCTGGGCGCTTGGCATTATTGTTTTTTGAGATGGAGTTTCACTCTTGTTATCCAGGCAGGAGTGCAATGGTGTGGTCTCAGCTCACTGCAACCTCTGCCTCCCAGGTTAAAGCGATTTTCCTGCCTCCACCTCCCTGGTAGCTGGAAGTACAGGTGCCTGCCACCACACCCGGCTAATTTTTTGTATTTTTAGTAGAGATGGGGTTTCACCTTGATGACCAGGCTGGTCCTGAACTCCTGACCTCAGGTGATCCATTCACCTCAGCCTCCTAAAGTACTGGGATTACAGGCATAAGCCACCGTGCCTGGCCCAGCTTTCATATATTTTAAAATATTTTAAACTATTTAAATAAAATTTAAATAAATCTAAATATTTAAAATGTAAATATTAAGAGTTGAAACAGAAATATAGAGTGGATTTTAAAATAATATAAGCTGGGGATGGTGGCTCATGCCTGTCATCCCAACACTTTTGGAGGCTGAAGTAGGAGGATCATTTGTGGCCGGGAGTTCAAGACCAGCCTAGTCAACATGGTGAAAAATACAAAATATTAGCTGGGCGTGGTGGTGGGTGCCTGTAATCCCAGCTACTTGGGAGGCTAAGGCAGGAGAATTGCTTGAAGAGAGACCTCATTTCTACAAAAAATTTAAAAAATGAGCTGAGTGTGGTGACATGTGCTGGTAGTCCAAGCTATATGTGAGGCTGAGGCAGGAGGATCACTTGAGCCCAGAAAGTTGAGGCTGCAGTGAGGTATGACTGTACCACTGCCCTCTAGCCTGGGGGACAGAGTGAGAGTGAGACTCCATCTCAAAAAGAAAAAATGATACATTTGTATTTCATTCTTCGTAGTTACATAGTTTTGAATGTTTTATAATATGGTTATATTATTACTCATAATTTTAACAATTAAAATGCAAACTAAAAAGGGATAGCTAGCATAGAGAACATAAAAGTATAGTGAAAGAGCCAGAGATTGAAGCCCAGAATCATCTTAGTGTGTGTTTAACCAGCTAAGAGAGCAATTTCTGTATCATGTCTGCTTATCTTACTGTTTGCCTAGACCATCCCATGGCTAATGGGTTAAATTAACCAGCATAATAAGTAGAATAGCAATCCTGTCTGAGAAAAGAATAGGCCCTAACAATGGAAAACACTTCTGCATTTTTAATGCTCCTATCTTTTGGATTAAGAAGCTTTGATTCAAGCCAATTTCCATGCATCGAAACCTCTCAGAGGGTTAGTAAAAAGGGTTCTTGAATACATCGTGAGCTTTGAGAGCTTGAATGTTTTAATGCCTCCTCCCTAGGCACAAAATCAGTGAACTTGGTGGTCCTATAATAAATTAATAACAGGGTTAGTGAATAGCAGGGCTAATCTACATATTAGGAAGTTACTGTAAAGCATATCATTTGATTTTGGTTTAAAGGGAAGAAGAATGCCAAGCAGCCCTTTCTCTGTTTAACGGACGATGGTATGCCGGACGACAGCTTCAGTGCGAATTCTGCCCCGTGACCCGGTGGAAAATGGCGATTTGTGGTAAAAGACAAAGTGATGATTTCTTTCCTCAGTTGTTCCTCTGCTATGTAAAGGGATATTCTTTGGGGGGAAACCCAGTATTCTGAAGTGGTGAGCCATAGCTTTTTGCCTCACACAGTAGATGAGCAGCGATCTTTTATAAAGAACACCGCAGTTTAGATCTGTAACCAACCTCATGAGTCACTTGATGGACGAAGTGACTGAGGTCACAACGTATCGGTGACAGAGTTGGGTCTAGAATCCAGTCTTCCGATCTTCAGTTCTGGGCTGTCTGACAAATCAGGAAGCCTGAGGAGTTACATCTGTGGGAAGCCCATTTCCCTTGCTGCAGTTTCAGAGGTATTTTCTATTCATTGGCTCTCTTCGCTTGAGCTGGCTGTTTGTTTCTTTCCCTCTTTGTCCCTAATGAATCTTCTGTCATTGCCACCTACATTACCTTACCCATAGCATTTCCTGCCTTACTTGGAATACCTGCTTTTGTGCACTGGAAGCTAATTGTAGGCTTAGGATCAGTTAAACATGCATTCAATCAGACTGATATCAGACGGTGGCAACCCAGTCAGGAAATGATCCAGTCTTGTGCAGAGAGTAGCCAGCAGTTTTGAAGGCCTAGTTATGTTCAGATTTCTCTCAGTGGGCCATTCCCCAGGTGAAAAGAGATGAGCTCTAAATGCCTCCGGGGAGCACTTATCTTACCCTTTACTTGTATTTCTTTGCTCTATACATGGCTGCTTAACACAAAGTCGGGATCTTTGGCAAGCTTGTCTTCCTGGATGCTGTCATTTTGAAACCACTTATGAAGGGAAAAGAAAGATCTTAGGATTCCTTGCTAAGGGAAACCAAAAGAACCATTACCCCTTAAGTTTAAAGGCTCAGGGCATGAAAGAGATAGAATTGTTTGCTTCATAAAGGCAGTTACTTCTGTCAGTTCCTGGGACTCCAGTATGATTTCAGTGAGGAGCTTCTGACTGTGACTTTTGACTCTTCCAAAGGAGGAGACTTTCAAAAACAACAACAACAACAACAACAACAACTTTATTTTCCTTATTGACTAAAGACACTGAGCATCTTTTTCTGTCATTGTCATTGGCCACTTGTATGTCTTTGGAGAGATGTCTGTTTGGATCCTTTGCCCATTTTTTTAACTAGGATCTTTGTCTTTTTATTATTGAGTTGTAAGAATTCTTGGCATATTCTTCATACGAGTACCTGGTCACAAATATGATTTGCAAATATTTTCTCCCATTTTGTAGGTTGTCTTTTCACTTTGTGTTCTTTTGAAATACACGTTTTAAATTTGGATGAAGTCCGATTTACCTATTTTTTTGTTTGTGCTTTTGGTGTCACATCTAGGATGACATTGCTTATCCCAGGGTCACAAAGATTTACTTGTATGTTTTCTTCAGAGTCATAGTTTAATTTCTTAACATTTAGGTATTGGATCCAGTTTGAGTTAATTTTTGTAGATAGTGTATAGTACGGAGGTATTTCACTTCTAACTGTTGTGCATATCTGAGGAATTTACAGCTTTAAAAATAAGTTTGAGAACCCCAAAGACCTCAAAATTGTTCAAATAGATTATCATTGATAAGAGTCTTCTGTATTAAAAGCACTTAGTGAATCTGAGATATTAGTGCAATGTTTATGATCTTAAAGTGTAAAGAAAATATAGACTCCTCCATGTTTAATAGGCTTTCTCTTTTTTTTTTGAGACAGAGTCTCGCTCTGTTGCCCAGGCTGGAGTGCAGTGGCATGATTTCGGCTCACTGCAACCTCTGCCTCCTGGGTTTAAGTGATTCTCGTGCCTCAGCCTCCTGAATAGCTGGGATTACAGGTGCCTGCCACAACGCCCAGCTAATTTTTGTATTTTTTAGTAGAGACAGGGTTTCGCTATGTTGGCCAGGCTGGTCTCGAACACCTGACCTCAGGTGATCTGCCTGCCTCTGCCTCCCAAAGTGCTAGGATTACATGTGTGAGCCACCATGCCCAGCCAGGCCTTCTCTTTTGACCAGTGGTTCTGGCCTACCACCTCCATGCCCTCGAGAAACCACCCTACTACAGGGACCCAAAGAGCTGACTCTTTGATGTTAATCAGGGATCAAAATCGTCAATCAGTGGGAAACCCTGGAAAAGATAACATGGTCACCATTTTGTTCAGTTGCAGTCTGCACCATAATCCAATGGGAGCACGAGCTATTCTTCTTAATGAAAACTTCGGATTTGTTACCTTTCAGAGTGTCATTTGTTAGAGCACTTTTGAAATTGTGGGAACCAAATTATGGCATCAATTTATGTAAGCCCCTTTTACATACACAGGTAGAAAATAGTTCTAGCATATCCAAACATCAGAAATGTACCTTCTGAAAAGGATAAAGTAGCATCTTCAGAACATGCAGTGATAAGTGCTGTTTTGTCACTGTGCCATTGCAGGTTTATTTGAAATACAACAGTGCCCAAGAGGAAAACACTGCAACTTTCTTCATGTGTTCAGAAATCCCAACAATGAATTCTGGGAAGCGAATAGAGACATCTACTTGTCTCCAGATCGGACTGGCTCCTCCTTTGGCAAGAACTCTGAGAGGAGGGAGAGGATGGGCCACCACGACGAATACTACAGCAGGCTGCGGGGAAGGAGAAACCCAAGTCCAGACCACTCCTACAAAAGAAATGGGGAATCCGAGAGGAAAAGGAGTAGTCACAGGGGGAAGAAATCTCACAAACGCACATCAAAGAGTCGGGAGAGGCACAGTTCACGAAGCAGAGGAAGAAATAGGGACCGCAGCCGGGGCCGGGGCAGCCGGAGTCAGAGCCGCAGAAGCCACCGCAGCCGGAGCCAAAGTTCCTCTAGGTCCCGAAGTCGTGGGAGGAGGAGGTCAGGTAATAGAGACAGAACTGTTCAAAGTCCCAAATCCAAATAAACTTGTTTTGTTCTTAAATGATGGTAGATCTTATTTATTGTGGTTGCTACATACTCGGATAGAAGGCTATGAATGCAGATGGGTTTGCAAGTCTGGCTGACACCTATGTAGCTTGGAATTCTATTTAAAAATATTTTTGTTCTCTCATAATCACGAAGTATGTTTAGTATAGAAAACATAAAATATATAAATAACAACATGAAAATTACTTGTAATCCTAACCTTGAGAGATAACTAAACATTGGAGCATTGTTTTAGTGTGTACACTTTTTTCTTTTTCTTTTTAGAGATAGGTTTTCACGCTTGTTGCCCAGGTGGGAGCAGTGGCATGATCATAGCTCACTGCAGCCTCAAACTCCTAGGTTCAAGTGATCTTCCTGTCTCAGCTTCCCAAGTAGCTGAGACTACAGGTACACACTACCACACCTGGCTAATTTTTAAACATTTTTTTTGGGGAGACAGGGTTTTGCCATGTTGACCAAGCTGGTCTTGAACTCCTGGGCTCAAAGGATCCTCCCACCTTGTCTTCCCAAGTGCTGGGATTATAGGTGTGAGCCACCACACCCAGCCCTATGTACACATTTTTTTATATAAAGAACATATATGAATGCAGTTGAATATGCTTTTATTCACGAGAAGCATTGTCATATTTTATCAAGCCCTGTTCTTCGTTTTACTCACTGCACAGTATGGATCTACCAGTTTTTTCAACCATATTCTCATTGTTAGATTTTAAATTTTGTGCTATTAAAGAATCCTGTGCTGAAAACAATCCTGTGATGAATTTTCTTAAATACTTCCACATATTTTTGATCATTTCCTTAGCATAAATTATATCAAGGAGATGAATACTAAAATATGTTCAAGTTGCCTGCCAGACCACAAAACATTTATGTCAACAATAAACCTTGCTGCTCCCACAACGCCAAGTAATTTTAATCCTTACCAATTTGATAAATTTTATGTGTTCGTGTATTGAATGTTCTTTGATTCTTGTTTGCCCCCTACCCCTTTTTTTAGCGATAGGGTCTTGCTATGTCGCCCAGGCTGGAGTCCAGTGAGTGTTCACATGATCGTTGTGTACTATAGCCTCAAACTCCTGGGCTCAAACAGTCCTCTTGGCTCAGCCTCCTCAATAGCTGAGACTACAGGTGAGCGTAACTGTGCCCTGCTTGTTTGCTCTTTATTAATAATCTATTGGATTTTTCTATGTGTAATAGTTGAACAGCTTTTTTGCTTTAAAGTTCATTTTCTCAGCTTTAAAGTACTGACAGGCAAAGTCCATTTTTTCCCCCTACTCTTCAGCTGGGGGCTGTCATGGTATACTTTTTTAAATAGTGTGTTGGGAAGTTCTTTATATAGGAGTAAAGCTGGTTTCTGTCATTTCCAGGAATATTAGGGTAATTGCTACTAAATATGCCTAGTGTTAAAGCAATCCTGGTATAAAAATCAGAATGGTCAGAGAATAGAACCTAATGCAGAAAAAGCTTCAAGCAAAAATATTACACCTAGACACCAGCTTTATCAATTTTTTTATAACTTTCTTTCCATTGACATACTTGGGATCTTGAATTTTGGAGTATGTGACATTTGTTAATTTGCCATTTGGGAATAAGGACTTAAGATACATAAAATACTGAAACATTAATGAAATTTAGATAGGAAGAAAGTTTCTTCAAAATTGGGATTTCTGCATGATATCTGCCAAGGATGAGAGTTCTTTAATGTGTAGTCAATAAAAGAAATCATGCATGTGGTCTAGGAGAATTTCACTTTAAAAAATCGGATTTGTTCCAGACTCTAAATGCCTGCTTATCCCTGAAAATGACTGAACTATATCTACTGGTTTCAGTAATGCTGAGTTATTATCATTAAATCCAGTATTTGATACTTTTCTAAATATGATCAAGATGTATGCAATTAAATGTGGTCCGCAATGCCGAAATCTTAGTAGATCATGGAGGATAAGAGAGAAAACCACCATCTTGAGCTCAAGACAACTGAAATATTGATGACTTTCCCCTCAAATGTTAATAGGCAGTGGTAGGGTAGAAGGGCAGGAAGTTTTTAAACCACTGACTGGTTCATTATCCTGCTAAATGTCCATCTTGAACTTAAATTTATTAATGGTTTATATATATATTGTCTGATTACAATTTATGTTTCAAAAGTTCCAACTATGTGTTGCTGGCAGAAGCCCACAGTCCTGTTTTCAGTAAATAGCTAGCTGCATGTTGGAGGCTTTTTAAACCTATAAATGTCTTTTTTTCCAGTAGACTAGCAATTTAATTTGATGGTAGGTCCTGCCTCCTCCATAAATATCCCGGTTTTAGAATGTAGCATTTCCTATCTGTAGTAATAGGAGGTCCCTTAACTATCACGATAGCCATAGATTTGATTTGTTGCATACATTAGGTAGTACAGTTGGCAAATATTAGTCGCTTTCTGTTATGTGTGCTAGCACCTTCAGTTCACAAGGGGGTAAAAGGAATCTAGTTGCTTTGAAATACCTTTTGATTACCTGGAATAATCTGAGTTGTTCATTCAGAAAGCATAGAAAAGTCAACTGCATCAAGGTTTTAAAAGCAGCATTTATTGATTGAAAACAAATGTGTAGATAAGCTCACAACAGCATGGAATCCATGTTATTTAATGAAGTACATGAAGACTCCTTAGATCTTCCACCATGTATCTTGTGTGTGCTTGTAACAACCACCATATTCAAATGGAGGGGAATTTTCAATATTTTACTGAAAAAAAATTAGAAATTCTTTCTTCAGCAGCTCTCCATAGTTTGACAAACTTTTGGAAAGAGATAAAAACACACTCCAGTATTTGTACGTTGAACGTTTATTACAACTAATTGGCGAAGTGATAAGACAGTGCTCACGTGGCCTGAATATTGGTCACAATCACAACAAAGCTTAATCCAGCCCAGCATATACAAGTGAAAGTATAAACCATGAAGACATGTTTAGATATGTATAAGTACTTAGAAAAGTGACGCTGAACAATTATATAGCTTTAAAAAATATAGGGCCAACTAATGCCATTTTACCTCATTCAACTCTCATTTTATATGAAACATGTCTTTTTAAATTTTTATAAGACTTCTGTTAACTAGGCAGTGCCATGGAAAGAAAGGAAGCTTTTGTAAAGTTTGCAGCACTTCTAAGTGGAGAGAAGCAAATAGGGAAGCAAAATAAATTTGGCATTAACAAGCATCCCAGAAGGAACATTCATGCTTTGAACAATGACTTTACACATAACACTGTGAAGAGAGCAACATGTTTTCTGTAAGATACTGTTATGAAGAATTCCTGGCAAATTAACATTCTCACTTTATTTTGGGCATCAAAAACTACGCATGTCATTATGACCACAAAAAAATTCATCTCAGGAGTCAAATGTGCCTTGGCCTTAAAAATTATGTGCTTACTATTATGAAACAATCCTGTTTCTCATCCCAGATTCAGAATGCCTAAGAAATAATTTTTAAAGTATCATTCCAATTAAGTCATTACAAATAATTCCCTTTATTTTTGAAAATATTCCCTTTTATTTTTGAAAGGTATGTAATTTCCAATAGGAGTCTTTGGAGTAAATTTGCTTTTTAAAGTTTCAACAAAGCTAAGTCTCCATTCATTTGATATGCGACATGTAATTCCCTTTCTTTTTTTTATATATACCGAAATGCTGCACTAGTCTTTGGTTTCATAAAACCAGGTTTCACATTATAATTTAAGTTTCCTTTGTCAAATACAGTAATTAATAAATGTATACTGCCTGATTTTACATGTATATGTGCCATTTTCATATGTGCACATAATCAGATTAAGAGAAACTGACCTTTAAACTTTAAAATATCCAGAAAAGGTATCTTTTTCTGCTACCATTCTAATTCATATTTAAGTCCCTTATCACTTGATTAACTAAAGTTCCCTTTAAAAAAAAATGTGTAGGCATGAATGAAGCAGCTTAGCAAAACAGTAACACTGACAAGACATCATCTTATACCATTAGCTAACATGGACATGAAGGGAGTGATCATCTACAGTGTGTAAAATGCCACAAGAAGTCATCAACAAGGGAGGAGAGTTATGTCAGTCCAATTTCTTCAAGAACACTACGTGGGGTTTCAGCTTCCTGTGGAGGGAAAATGTGAGACTCTGGTAAGCAGATCCAGGGAGTCTTGAGAATGTGAAAAATTGACATGGAGAACATGCTTGTTTTAGAGAATCAAGAAAGCAATTTCGTGTCACAGTAGTATTCTAATAGTGGCAGGCAGTGGTTAGTTGGGGTTTTGTGCCCCAAACATTGGAGACCACTAAAGGACCGTTTCAGCATTCATTAAGTCCCTGCTAATTACGTACCAACATGTTTCAGCATTCATTAAATACCTGCTAATTACCTACCAACATGCTGGATGCTGTTGCTGTAAGGCAAAAAGCACTCAAGCCCAGTGCAAGCCTGCTGGCAAATTATGAAATCACTGCTACTCAATTATATCTATGAAAGGTAAGTTATCTTCATGGTAAAATTCAAAACCTCTTCCCTCTGTGTTCCCACAATTCTTCACCTAATGTTGTGTTCCATGCTTTCTGTCACATGCATTTATAGAAATGTCTTCCTCTTGGAGATTTTAGTTAACTGTGTCCACAGCAGCAAGTCTTCAGAAACAGCTATCTTCCCAGACCTCCCCAGGGCAACCAATGGCATCACTAGAGGCCACATACAGAAAGAATACCCTGGGACAAAGGCATTTTTGTTCTGTGTAGCAACCAATACTGGTTTTTAAATGTCAAAGGAGGTCAAAACAAACCAGGCATATCCAGAAAAAAATTAGTTAAAAATTTTCCAAAGTGGCTGATTTTGCAAATCACAAAATAAAGGACCAAGGAGGCCAACTTTCAGGTATTACTAGCAACGAATTTTGTAATTAAAAGGCAACATTGTCTTTTAATGAGGGAAAATAATATAAATTTCTGGTATCCAGTAATAAACTTACTTTTGCATCC